TTTCTTTTAAGCTGTATGAAGTGTTTTTAACAGTTGATGTTGCCAATTGTGTTTCTGCAGTCTCATCCTGGTGGCCTTTTGTTCACAAAGTTTGGAGCCAACCAGACTGCTTTACTTGATCTTGCTTTTCCTGTATGTCAAGTACTGACATTTTGCTTTTGCCTAATATATCTTTTACTTGAAAACAGCCTGTTCTGATTGTTTTATTACTCCTGTCTAAATTTATTTATAAACCTGACTGTCTTAGTGGTTTTTAACTGTCTACTTCTGTTAACCCTTATCTGCATATGTGATCATATGCTAATGCTTCAAGGTTTATATTTTGAATTTGAATGCTCTTAAGCTTTTCTGAAATTTTGGCATGATTGCCATTTAAAAATGTTTTTTATATGCTCCTCACTTGGATTTAACGTAATGCAATTCACACCTACCTATTATAATGGGTAGCATTTCAATTTTTATTACTTTAAGTGACTGTTCCTAGTGAGTGTCCTTACATGTGCAGCATTAACACCCTTAGTCCATTGTAGTCTAGTATTCTCCTCTTTTTCGTGCGTACTTTCTCATTTTGATAGCACATTTGATGTATCATTCCTTATGCAGGATAATTTTGGTAGACTTCATGACAGGAGCAAAGAAACCCCTAAAACCTTGAAACAAGTAACTCGGCTTTTCCCTAACAAAGTGACGATCCAGTTACCTCAGGTGTGCATATGTCAGTTTCTGCATCAGTTATCCTCTTACGAATTTTGAAATATTTAATTTAGTATTCCTGAATCATGCCAGGATGAAGCTTTACTTTTGGACTGGAAGCAGCAGTTAGAACGTGACACTGAAACTCTTAAAGCTCAGTCAAACATTGTTAACTTTCGTTCAGTGAGTATTGCTATAATCTTGCTTTGTTTTTTTTGCATTTTATGATTCTGCATGCCAATTTGAGCTTCTGGTCTATAAAGTACATTGCCTGAAAGTGGCTTTCTTTTACTTTCCTGACCTTGGTTAAAACCTTCTTATAAGCGTAGGATAATTAAACCTAATGCGATAAGAAACTACATGAAAGCTGAAGAAGGTTATAATAAAAATACATCTTTCCCTTCCCGACCCCTACTACCTCTCCCAAACAGACAGAAGTTGCCTTCCATGTTCTTGTTATATTTAGAAATTAATAAGCAGTTCGTATATTTGAAAATTTGTGGTACAAGTCTCTTTTCAGAGTTTTTTTAACAGTTTTATGCTATCAGGTTCTCAATCGAAATGGTTTGGATTGCACCGACCTTGAAACGCTTTGTATTAAAGATCAAACCCTTACAAATGAGAGTTAGTATCCTTGAGCTCCTAATTTTTTTCGTAATCCATCCAAGTGCATATTCCTTTTTTTACTATTTAACTTTTTTACCATTGTATATATATGAAAGGTTTGCAGGACTTTGTATTTTTTTAAAAAAAATTAATTGATCATTTATTTTAAAGGCTGTCACTTTTCCCTCTAAATTTCCAAAAACTGGATTAAGATTTGTTCTTGGCTTTGGCCCCATCAAATCTAAAAAATCTTTACTATTTTTTTCTTTAATATTTTTGTACCTTTTGCTATTATTACAGGTGTGGAGAAAGTGGTAGGCTGGGCACTAAGCCAGCACTTCATGCATTCTTCGGAAGCTGTGGTGAAAGATGCTAAACTTGCAGTTTCAGCTGAAAGGTTTTATTTTCTCTTCATTTATTGCAACCTACATCTCTGTAATGTTAAATGGAAGATAGAATTATATGAGCCAAATGTTTCTCCAGTTTCTTCTGGTGCTAACTTCTTCTGTATTTTTTGTTGCAGCATCAAATTTGGCTTGAACATTTTGCAGGGCATTCAAAGTGAAAGCAAAAGCTTGAAGAAATCACTGAAGGTACAGTTGTATTCTTCCTCTTGGGTTCTATGTGTAGTCGTTGCCACTTATACTATTGTCCATCAGTTATCTGGTTAATAATTTAGTGTGCTACTGAATTACATTTAATTATTCCTATTTCCAGGATGTGGTCACTGAGAATGAATTTGAGAAAAAACTTCTTGCGGATGTTATTCCACCAAGTGATATTGGGGTTAGTTTTGATGATATTGGAGCCCTCGAGAATGTCAAGGAAACCTTGAAGGAATTGGTGATGCTTCCCCTTCAAAGGCCTGAATTGTTTTGCAAGGGACAGTTGACAAAGGTTGACTGAATTATACATTTTTAATATCTAGTTTTGCTTTATTGTATATTACTTGGAATTGTGCATTTTTAACACAAATCTCGTTTTATTATTTTCTATGTTATTGCTTTCGCAGCCCTGCAAAGGAATATTGCTGTTTGGGCCTCCTGGTACTGGAAAAACAATGCTTGCCAAAGCTGTTGCAACTGAAGCTGGTGCAAACTTTATTAACATATCAATGTCCAGCATTACTTCAAAGGTATTTTAAGTGCATAGAAAATGTTTCATGTTCCTTTTCTGTTAGAAGATGGATTTTCCTTTTGATACGTGTATATGACATATTTGTATGTCTTGTAGTGGTTTGGTGAAGGAGAGAAGTATGTTAAAGCCGTTTTTTCTCTGGCCAGTAAAATTGCACCTAGTGTTGTTTTTGTTGATGAGGTTTGTCAAGTTCATTTTGTTTTTGTGGTGTTTTCTTTTCTCTCTGAAGATTAATTGCTGATATTTCATCGTCTTTCCCTTTATTATTTTTGGGTTGTTCTTCCTGTTTCTTAAATACGATATGTGGTTTTATTGACTTTGGTGGTTATTTTAGGTTGATAGCATGTTAGGAAGACGGGAGAATCCAGGTGAACACGAGGCTATGCGTAAAATGAAGAATGAATTTATGGTAAATTGGGATGGTCTACGTACAAAGGATAAAGAACGAGTGTTGGTTCTTGCTGCTACAAACCGGCCATTTGACCTTGATGAGGCAGTCATTCGGAGGCTTCCTCGAAGGTAATTTTCTTGCATTGTTTCTTTGAGTTGCTGTAGTCTAACATAATGATAAGGGCCATTGACTTCCTTGTTGAATATTGTACAGATTGATGGTTAATTTGCCAGATGCTCCAAATAGAGAAAAGATTCTACGAGTTATATTAGCAAAAGAGGAATTGTCACCCAATGTTGATTTGGAAGCTATTGCAAATATGACAGAAGGATATTCTGGAAGTGACCTGAAGGTTGATTTTTCCATCTTTTTACTTGATTTTATTGTCTTGTTTGAAAATGTAAATGGGTGTTTGTGAAACAAAGAAGGAATGAAATTGGTCAACTGCGAATCACATGCTAATACTGGATTAAACAAGCCTGGTCATTTTCTCTTTCTAGCTAAATATTGACTCTTAACGAGTTTTCTTGTGAACTAGAGTGGCAGTAATTCTGGCATAAACTAATTTTGAACTTTCTTTTTCCTCTGAAAATAAAATCTTAATGTCATCAAGGTTGTTAGCAGGGTTTCCTTATTCCCGTTAATTGAGTCATCTTGTAAATATTAATCAAAACCAAGTTGAAGCTTTTTAATGGGTTATAGGTGGCTTTATCTTTTACCCACGTTTATTCCCCAACTAAATTTTCTGTTTGCAGAATCTTTGTGTGACCGCTGCACATTGTCCGATACGAGAAATTTTGGAAAAGGAAAAGAAGGTTAGTTGAAATTTTAGTTTATATGTTCCATGATAAGTTTGTGTTAACTGGCATGTAAACAATGTTGGTTTTGCAAATGGTGCTAAAAGGTAGTGAATCTATCTTGTAGATGCTCAATGGCACATTACATTTCTTGATGCTATTTTTGTGATGGTGGCTAGTAGTTACATATTTTGGCTAGTCTTATTCTATGCAATTGTCTGGGGTGGCTGCCTGATTATCTTGTTCTCGTAGATCAAGATGATAAATATATTTTTGCTAATATCTGGTTTTTTTATGTATCAATGTTTTATGTTACCCACCTTGTGGGTTAGCTAGCTTATTATGTTGTTTTACAATTATATCTTTGGTAAGTAAAAAGAGCAAGTACTAATTCAAAGGTAATTTCATCTGCAATTTTAAATGAGGAATCCTTCTGCTACATATATTATCCACATGATTTGGAAGCACTGAATAAATGATAGTCTACAGATAATTGTACCCGTCATATGATCTACTGCATCTCTTTTTACATGAAAGTTTACTATTTGTACAAGAGTAGACTGATATATCATGCAATTTCAGGAGAGAGTTTTGGCAGTGGCTGAGAATAGACCTGTGCCTTCCTTGTATAGCAGTGCTGACATTCGTTCTTTGAAGATGGATGATTTTAAATATGCGCATGAGCAGGTACGGAACCATACTTAGTCTTAATTATTATATTTTACTTGTCCGTTGAAGTCTCAGAAGTTAAAATTTCCCTGGATTTATTTGGTCTGTATGTGAGTGTTAAGCTTATATTAACACATTATGTCTGTCAAATTGAATGATTTGGAGTGCAGAAATTGGTATATATTCAATGGAATAGTCTGTGTGCTATTTTATATTCCATTTGATTGGTTATAATGCAGGTTTGTGCAAGTGTGTCATCAGAGTCTACAAATATGAGTGAGCTTCTTCAGTGGAATGAGTTGTATGGTGAAGGTGGATCCAGAAAGAAAAAACCTCTAAGCTACTTCATGTAGAGGAGGTATCTTTGTGTATAGCATTCCTTTTTCATTTCATTCTTGATTGTCACCATAAATGGTGGCCAAGTTGAGAGACCTGCTTGTGGAATTCCATTGCAGGTCCCGGCTTCCTTGTATTATAGTATATAGGTTTTTCGAAATTTTCACAATCTTTCTATTAGCAATTTTATTATATTTATCAAGCATGTTAACTTTATTAAATGCATTTTCCATTCCCTTCACTCCTTGGGCTATTTCCTCTTTCCGTGGCACTATGTCCTCTGCCTTTACATACAAGTAATTCTTTGTAATTTTCTCACCATCGTGTCATTCCTTTGAAATGAAATGAATGGATGCCCTTGAGTGCAAGGTTAGCAAACTAAATACCCTAGTACCTTTGTTTTATATATTTCTCTTGTGGGGTTGGTTTGGGATGGGGAGTAAGGCTGTTGTTGTTGGGTTGAGGTTTGTAACGGATGCTCATGAACTTTTGTCATAGTAGGTTGGTTGCTAAACGAGACATTATCTTGTTGTGTTGTATATGTTTTTCATCAATATTTTTTAATGGGTTATTATTGCCTTGGATCTTGAGGGTTTGCATTGGGATTTAGTGGTGATTCCGTTGATAATTATTAGTTATTGTTCAGCTGCACTTTATTGTTGTTTTACTTTTTCGATTGTGAGCTGACAGCTGAGTACAGGCCGAGTGGGATGTGTTGAAACTGTCGTGTTGGTTTGTTGGTAATGGGAAATGGATTAAAGTTAATATGAAAACTATATCAAAAAGGGTGTTTGGAGTTTATTTCACATATAATAATAATAATATATTGAGATTTTCAGGTGAAGAAAATTAACAATCTTGTGAATGATAATCGAATGTTTGAAGAGTTTATTTTTAATTGTATGCGTTTACTCTTCAAGAAAGTAATCGAGTGGAAGAGAATCGAAAGTTTTACAATGGTTCAATTGTTCACTATGAGATCTTCCAGTGGACAAATAGCATATGGCAGTGTGGGAATGAGCTGCTAATCTGTTTGGATCCAAATAGATGTCTGCAGCACGGTGGGTCAAAATCCAAATGAATCGTTGTTCACGTTTGACCCAATGATATCGGTCCGTTTGAATCCAAACAACCCTTAGAAGATGAAGGGGAGGTGGGGACAAAGTTGTTTAATTGAAAAAAGAAGGGGGTTGAGAATCAATTCAACTTTAATGGTGTCAAACAGGAGCAAGTTTAGTCTCGCCTTGAATCGGGGGTTGGGCTTTTGGCATCGTCATTGACAGCTAATTCTGATTGGACAAGTGGATGGTACAATTTGTGAGGACCATTAGAGGCCACGTTTACCATATATATATATGTATATATTCTAGTAGTACTTTCATGATCAAGTACATGGAGCCACTCTTATGTTTATTGGTTAAATGGAATCATCATGTTTCTCTGCAGTCTATAATGGGTTCTGGGGCTGCGCGGAATAGACGACACGAGTTGTATACATCTTGGGTACAAGATGTTCGCCTGAAGAATGATGTTGTCAGCATTTATCTTTTAGTGCGTGGAACTTGAATGAAAAAGGACTGCCTTCATCTAACAACGGTCAAGCTTGCATTAACCCTACAATCTTCTGCACCATTAATGTTAACGACATGTTTAAATTGTATCAATGGATTAATTTCTTTATACCCCACCACTATCTAACCTTACATCCTAACACGTGCAGCTGAAAAGACAGAGCAGTAGTTATAAGTTTTTGTACTGACACTCGATTCTTCGTTGACGCCATTAGATTTTGCGTCCCACTCCTTCCACTACTATATTTTTGAATGGCGAAGCTCCGTCGTTACACATTCCACCCAAATATTAAATTAAAAATAAAGAAAGGAAAGAGCGGAGAAACGATCTATTTGCATCACCATTTATTTAAGTCATCCGTTGAATGATGCTTCTATAATAGAAGCACAAAGGAAAAACGGTTTACGATCTCTCTCTCTCTCTTCTCTGCTCTTGCTGAGGCGCATGTTAGCGATGGACCTTATGCACCATTCTTCCAGTTTTCTTCTCCCCACGATTCCCCAACACCACCGCCCTTCTCTAACCTACGCTCTCGTCCTTCTTAACCAAAACCTTCCCAGATTCACTCCTCTGCTCTGGAAGCACGGTACTTATCCTGCATCCTCACTTTTGATTTTTAGTACTCATTATTCTGAACATTAATTGTTTCCTTTTTTTTTTTTTTTTTTGTTTAGAGCAGCTCAGCTTCGTCTCTGTGCTGACGGTGGCGCCAATCGTGTGTACGATGAAATGCCTCTGTTGTTTCCTCAGGAAGATGCCTCCGATGTTCGACGCAGGTTTCTTTTCTTTCTGTTTTTTTTTTTTTCTCGTCTTTTTCTGTTATATACTATAAGCTTTGATTTGTGTAAGTTTTATTGCTCTTATGTAAGTTGTTGGGCAGAGCGTAGTTGAAATCAATTTATTATCTTTCGTCTGAATCATGTGATTTAAATTCTTATATTAGTTAAAACCTTTGAATTTGATCAAAATTTGGTCCATCCAATAGAGGAATTGTTAGAACATAGCTTCTTTCCCATTTTGTAGTTTGGAGGATCATTTCACTTAACTTAGCTCTTAGATTTATGTTTTTGTTCTAAGTGATTCAGAAAATGCTTTCCTTGTTATTTTTAAGTGATGTGATAACATTGGCGCTTTGATTCATAGCAGATACAAGCCGGATGTAATTAAAGGAGATATGGATTCGATACGGAGAGAAGTGCTTGACTTTTATACGAGCCTTGTAAGTTTGCAAATTTCTTTTTGTACAACCATTTAAGTAGTGATATCAACTATATTTTCTTTTGTGACTCTAAACAGCCTGTTTCCCATTTGTTCTTGTCTGACCAACCTTGTTTCCTATGTGTGTGGCACGTGCTGCTCTGCTTTTATGAGCATTAGTTTCTTTCTCCTAGCATTTGAGGTGTTAGATCTCTGCTTCATATAATTTTTATTGCTGAGACGTTTTCACTTGCTGCTTTGATGCAGGGGACGGAGATTGTTGATAAATCTCACGATCAAGACACCACAGATCTACATAAATGTGTAACATACATTCGTGACTTTGCGCCAGGTTTGGATAAGTCTGATGTAAGTTAAAGTTAAATGTTCTAGAATTTATTTTGTTTTGATAGTTATGCTTTGTGCAACATTCATTTTGCTTTTATTTTATGTTTATTAGCATTAGTACTTGAATATTGGTTTGGAAGCAGGTATTTTTTACAAGTTAGGAGAGTAATCTACACCTGATACTATGCATTTCATCTGTAGCACGTGCTTAGATTGTAGTTTATTCCTTTCATCTGTAGTGTGTGCTTAGATTGATAGTTTATTCCTTTCATCTGCAGCGTGTGCTTAGATTTATGGTTTATCATTTCTTTTTCCTGAATTAATGGCAGCTTTGCATTCTTGTTGCTGGAGCACTTGGTGGACGATTTGACCATGAAATGGGAAACCTAAATGTCATATGTCATTTCTCATCCCTGCGAATAGTCCTTTTATCTGATGATAGTCTTATATATCTCCTTCCAAGGACTCACCGCCATGAGATACATATTCAAACTTCTGTAGAGGGCCCTCACTGTGGACTCATCCCAATTGGGATGCCATCAAGGAGTAGTACAACAACTGGGCTTCAGTGGGATCTGAGTAAGTACATGACTACATTTTTTCTGGTGCTTGCATTCATCTACTAGGTTATTGAACTCAAGTAGACATAGTTTCATGCTTTACTCATGTCATCAGTTTATCATGCCGTGTTATTCTTCTTGCTTCTCATCTCACTTGAAAACGGATACTTGTTTGGAATATAGCAAATGTAGTCCAAAGTCCTGAAGGGTATATGAGATAATTTCACTTCTAGCTTATATTTGAAGCTCTCCAGCAATGGAGGTATATGTAGTGAAAGGAAACTAATTATATCCTATATGATTTAACAAATGAGTCCCTTACATTCATTAGTAAAACATGGGTAAGAAATTAATTTTATTTTTTTCATTTTGAGAGAGATATTGAAGTCATTTAAAATAGCTTCTTTCCTATTACCGTTTCTGTCTGTCTTCTCTCCTATCAATTGAAGACACATTGTGACGGCTAACACAAGCATAACTCTGACACACACTTCTCTTGTTTTAATGAAAGCCCTGGGAACCTGCATGAAGTGGGTGGAAACCTTTGAACTAGTGCTCTAGTGTGCTACAGATTCCTCTACATTTGCATTGGTGTAATAGTAAATCTTTGTATGTTCTATGTCTATCTAGCTGATGTAATGCTGTACTTGGGTTTCTCTATTTTGTGGTATTCACATGTATAACTTTCTTTTATCATCGTAGTTGCTAGCAGCATATGGAATCATTCCTTATTTAGCTTGGCTGTAAATTGTAAAACTATGATAGTGATGGTCCTAATGCTGTATCCAGTTCTCCCATTTGCTTCTAGAACTGGCTGTGACATTATTGTTGTTATTATTTTTTTTCTCATTCCAGACAACACAGAGATGAAATTCGGTGGTTTAATAAGCACATCGAATATAGTTACAGGAGAGAAAGTGACAGTGCAATCTGATTCTGATCTTCTTTGGACCATTTCCATTAAGAAGTTGTAGCGGCTTTATGTTTCTTTTGCGATGAGTTGCTCAGGCTGCAGATTTCACTTTTTCTAAACCTAGATTGATTTGGTCCATTCTGATTCTTATGTCTATATATAATATATTAGAATTGTTTTTCCGTGTCATTAGATTGGGACAATGTTCAAATAAAAACTGTATCATCTCATTATCTCCATTGATTTTTTTTTATTTTTATTTTTTTTGTATTTTACCATTGAAAAATGTGAAGGTTGATATCCACCTAGCTGTGGTATATCATTGCTTCACATAATCGTAATGATGTTAGAGGAAAATCACTGTTCCACTTCAACACACTTTTAATAGGGTGTATTTGGTGTCTTATTCAGTTTGTTTCTAAATCTTTTATGCAAATTATAAGGTTGTTAACCGAGGACTTGATGATGAATTGCTGCCATTTTTGTATGAAAACCACTTTATTTCAATTAAGGTCCGACAACTTTTCTGTTAATCCATTGCCAACCTTTCGTCCATATTATCGATGGGGTAAGCAGAAAAAAATTGTTCAAATAGAAAATGCTCAAGATTAATTCTTTTTTTGAGCCAAACCTTTCAACTTTACATCGCAAACAAAAATATAGTACACAAAAAGGGCAAAGGGCGGCCGGTCCTAGGTGCCGAATTTAAAAATAATAATAATAATAATAATCCACTCTGAGTTTTGTTTAAAAAATATTTGTTTGTGTCGAGAATTGTTATTTCTTACTGGCGCAAAGTAACAAGCTCTTTTGCATCGCTTCTGTTTTGGCGGCAGAGTCTAGCGAAATAGGGTTTTAGTCATTCTCCTACCCACTCCTCTCTCTCCGTGCTAAACCCTAATCCTAACTTTTTGCTTCGCATTGCGTAATTCTCCATGCTCGTAATTCCGTTTCTAGGGTATTTTCGTTCGAGTTGCTCGTAAATGCTCGGTTCATTGAACTTTTAACTCGCTTTTAATGGAAGGACCGGCTCCGTCTAATTCCCCTGTAATTAAGCCCATAAACAAAGGCGTCGTCCACAGAATCTGCGCCGGTCAAGTCATATTAGACCTCTCCTCCGCCGTCAAGGAACTCGTTGAGAATAGCCTCGACTCCGGAGCCACCAGCATCGAAGTCGCTCTCAAGGAGTACGGAGAAGAATGGTTTCAGGTCATCGATAATGGCTGCGGCATTTCACCCAATAATTTCAAGGTAAATAATCCTCCATCAGCAATACAAAATTGTCGCCATTTCTTTTGCTTCATTTTTTGTAATTTTAATTTTTTTTTATTTTGTAGGTCGTGGCACTTAAGCATCATACATCAAAGCTTGCGGATTTTACAGACCTTGAGTCTCTGACTACGTTTGGATTTAGAGGGGAGGCATTGAGTTCACTTTGCGCTTTGGGGAATCTGACTATTGAAACGAGAACGAAAAATGAATCCGTTGCAACGCATTTAACTTTTGATCATTCAGGTTTGTTGATAGCTGAGAAGAAAACTGCGCGGCAAATTGGTACTAGTGTCACTGTAAAGAAGCTGTTCTCGAATCTACCAGTGCGAAGCAAGGAGTTTCGTCGCAACATACGCAAGGAGTATGGCAAACTTATTTCCTTGTTGAATGTGAGTGCATCCATGGGTGTTAAAAGCTTTAAAATTGCAGTTTATTACTTGTTATATAGGTCTACTTTTGATGCGTGGATAAAAACAACATTGGATCATGCTTCATGTGTTATTTTTATTTGAGATTGTGAAATCGGTTTGAAATAATGTGTTAATATGGCATACTATAACTGTGTTAAAACAAAGCTTATGAATTTGTGGATTTATGAGGCTTTGTCCTTGATTTAGAAGGTCCATTCATATGAAATCCTGTTTGTAATAGGATTTTTGATTCATTTCATTTTCAAGAAGACATTAACAAATAATGCCTATGAATTATGGTTGGAGTCTATGTAATGCTTAATGATTTAATGTTCGGATGTTTGCGTAACCTTGTAGTGTCTTGCACATGATTTATGGTGTCATCATTGCACATAGATGCATAGTTATAGCATAGAATTAGTAGTCTATAAAGAGTTTAATGCCCCTTACTATGATGATTATCATTTGGCTTTTTCGTCTCCTTTCTTTATTAAAAATTAGGAATACCTCAATCATCGCTATGTGGTATGTCTTCAATGAGCTGGTTTTCACTCTTCCTTTCACCGTTTTTAGAATTTTGTGGATAAAAGGATATTTTCTCGTGTTCTTCAAAATACAGGCATATGCACTTACAGCAAAAGGAGTTAGGCTAGTCTGCAGCAACACGACTGGAAAGAATGCAAAGTCTGTAGTACTTAAAACGCAAGGAAGTGGTTCCCTCAAAGATAACATCATACAAGTGTTTGGCCTGAACACATTTAGCTGCTTAGAGCCTTTGTCTATATGTATATCAGATGGAAGCAAAGTTGAGGGGTTTCTTTCCAAGTCTGGACAGGGTAGTGGCCGCAATCTGGGAGACAGACAATACTTCTTTGTAAATGGTAGACCAGTGGATATGCCTAAAGTCAGCAAGCTTGTGAATGAATTATATAAAGGTGCAAACTCTAGGCAGTATCCCATAGCTATAATGAATTTTATCATTCCAACTAGAGCATGTGATGTCAATGTGAGTCCCGATAAAAGAAAAGTATTCTTTTCCGACGAAAGCTCAATTTTGCAATCTCTGAGAGAGGGTTTGCAGCAGATATATTCCTCACATAATGCCAATTTCTATGTTAATAAAGTTGAGGAGAACTCTAAGGAAGCTGATTTCTCTGAGTTTTGCTCTTCACTGGAAAAATCTAATATCTTTCCAGAACAGTTACCTCCAGCTGGAATCAATTCAAAAGTTTCCATGAGGGAACATTCTGTAGAGGGTAAAACCTCTCCTAGAACAGTTAAAATAAATGCTCAAAGTTTGCAGTTATCGGAAGGATCAGTTGCTAGTGATCATGAGAACTCATTAAGGAAGGACTTGACTCTAAGAGTACAGGGAACAACGAAGATTGATGGTGTTATAGAGGCTAATGCAGGGCAATTGACGACTCATAAGGATGGTACAGCTAACAAGGATTTATCAGGAGGATCAATCCTTAGTCATCATGAGCATGTCTTGAGGAAGGACTTCACTTTAAGAATTCATGGAACTAATAAAGTTGATGGTTTTACAGAGTCTAATGAAGGGGGATTGACAACTCATATGAACAGTATAGCTAACAAGGATTCTTCATCCCCCTCAACTGCAATTAGGAAAGGAATTTCTGTAAGTAGAGATTCTAATAGCCATTCAGACTATGTTCAATCATCACTGAACAAATTTGTAACCGTTAGTAAGAGGAAGCATGAAAGCATTAGTACTGTGTTATCTGAAGTGCCTGTCTTAAGAAATCAAAGTCTTCATAACCAATTGAAGAACAACCAATCAGAAATGCATGATTTGGAAGCAAGAGATCAAGTTGATGATTCTTCTGAGGTGAATGAGAATGAGCCAAGAAAATTTCTGAGAGTGGATTGCATCTTTGATGAAATTGAAAATCATTGTTCTCCTAGAGGCAACAATAATGATGGAAAACCTGGAGAGGTACATGGACCTATTATCTATTCTTAACTTGGTCTGTCCTGCTTTACCAGTCCAAGAAACAAAAAGAGAAAAGTAAGCTCGATAAACTTTATATTCATAATAAAAGTAAGTCCAACTAAATGCATAACCATATTAGAGAACGTGGTCCCTTTCAAAACAAACTGTTAATCTGTGCTATTTGAATCGTCATTTTACCTATCATATCCGAGTCAAACATATATCAGATACCTCAAATGAACTTGAGTATTTGGTTGTGGTTATAAAAAGATCTGTATCAGACAGTTATTTGCAATGAAGCTACCCTCTCTCTAGGCAACCTACATTGAAATCCTTGTTATGGTACAATCCTTCATGAACATGAAGATTGACCCAAAAGTCTAAATGTTATCAATGTTTTTCTTTTCTGATTTCAGCTAGTTTTTTTTACAGGAATTAGAGGATCATGAAAAAGCAGTGCCTTCAGCTGGTATAGAATTAATTGAATCATTCAGCAAGAATCCTGAGGGTATACTTGAGAAAGCATCTACAGCTTTAACTTCAGAGTCTTTATCCTCCGCTTTAGTTGTAAGTGTTCCCATGCCTTCGTCTGGTCAAAGGATATGTTCCACCTTGGAGTTTAGATTTCAAGACCTATTGACAAAGAGGCGGCAGAGGATGTCAAGAATACTGTACACTGGTGACAGATTTCAGAGCATGAAGACGAAAAGGTCCATGAAGTAAAAGCTTCAATCCTAGTAGCAAAATGGTTATCAAGTTCTTTTTTAGTAATTTGATTTTCATTATTGCCAATAGGTGTTATACTGCTGCAACGCTTGGGCTTTCTCAACCAGAGAATGAGGAGAAAAAAACACAAGCTTTAGCTGCAGCTACTACAGAGTTAGAGAAACTTTTCAAAAAAGAAGACTTTAGCCGAATGAAGGTTTTATGCTATATTTTCTTTTGTTCTGTTGGGTTTAGAGTCTTGTGGGAAACACTTAGTTGCCTAGCTTATGCTTTTTGCAGATATGCATGAATTTCTTGAAAGCTAAATTCATAAAAGTTTGATTCAGTTGATTGTACTGAAGATATAGGAGCACTTTGATGCTACTGAGTTAGTTTATAGTCTCTGGTTAGGTTTCAATTGTGACTAGCATGAACTCAACGTAATGTCTATTATGAATTGTTAATAATGTTGATAATCAGGCAGGTTAGTTTTCTGACATTTTTGAAGCTGTGCAGGTCTGAAACTGTCAACACGTTGGCTGAATTTATGCATGCATGAAATACTGTCATCTTTAATTAGTAATGACAAATGGTTGCTTCTGTTTCAAAGGTGATTGGGCAATTTAATCTTGGTTTCATCATTGGGAAGTTAGACCAAGATTTATTTATTGTGGATCAGGTAATATCTGAGCTAACTTTGTTTTCTCATGATTGCTTGGTTTGTCATTTCATATAAAATTAATTTTTTTCTTGTCCTTTTTTAAAAAATTAAATAAGATCTCTGTATTTTCAGCATGCTGCTGATGAGAAATATAATTTTGAGCGTCTTGCTCAATCGACCATCTTGAACCAGCAGCCTTTGCTTCGGTGAGGAATTATGATCGTTATTGAATTACTTATTTTGAAATGCTTCGTGTAGTAGTGGAAAAGGAATGTTGAAGAAAGCCAAATTGTGCTATGCCTTTGTCATTTATGTCTCTAGCAAGGCATATTGCATGTGGTATAATGTCCTTATGTTGGTGTTTTAATAGATATAACAGTTGAATAATAATGACTATCAATGTTGCAGTGCGCATTTTCTTGTCTATTTAATTTTATTGCATGTTATGAGTCAGTTTATTGATAAGTTGACGATTGATGCCGAAATCAGATGCAAAGTATTTTAGATGATGATGATTGAAGACAAGTAATTAGATCCTACAAGTGCACCAAATTAATAATTAAAAAATTGCATGAAGCTTTACTCGGAATCCTGATGCTAGGATTCTTTCTTATCTAATTGTTGTAGTAAATAAAGTAGATTCGGATGGATATGATCACTTTGAAGAGAACAATCTAAATAATTGGTTATATATATTGCTGTCTGGGGTATCCTGTAATTGTAGCCTGTCAAATCGGTTAGGTGAACTGTATTTGAGCTAATGGATACCATCATGTGGCTTCTGAAGCACCCATTGAGCTGTCCCTTCTTCTGAAGCTTCTGACCAAATTTTTGATGCAGCATAGGCAAAGGCTACACAATAGTCATGCATTAATTCATGTCTGCTAGAAATTTGAATATATCTAGCTTCTAAGTTTTTCATTCAACGGGTGGAACTGGTATGACTGATATTATTGTTGTCATTGCTCTGAAGCATCATTCATAATGGTCGATGTAATTGGATTAGGAAGGTGTGGAATACAAAAGTAGCGAGGTGTTGAACTAAATAACCTTTATTGTTTTGGATTGGTAGTTCAAAACTTGCAGCTGTTTATTTCCATTTATTTTCCTACTATTTTTCTGCTTATGGAGATCATTTTAATTTCCAATGAGAATTGTATTCTGAAGTTGACTTCTAACTATGTCCAGGCCACTGAGATTGGAGCTATCTCCTGAAGAAGAAGTAGTTGCTTCAATGCATATGGACATAATCAGGTTCAATTTTCTATTGGATGTGGTTCCTTTCATTCATTTATAAGCGTATTTTGTTCTTGCTGAATTCTTTGAAACTTCAATTTACATGTGACATATCTGAAGTAAATCTTCTTATGGTGCTTTATGAATTTTTATCTTGTTTTTTCAGGAAAAATGGGTTTGTTTTGGAAGAGGATCCACATGCTCCACCAGGGCAACAATTTATGCTCAGAGCTGTTCCCTTCAGTAAAAACATTACTTTTGGAGTCGAAGGTAGCCCTCCTTTTTGGTATCCTTAAGTGTTTAATTGATCATTGTTCTTTATTCAAGCAAATTTACCTCTTTACGGTATACAGGTTAAGCTACTCATAGGATGTTAGAATTTATAGATGTACTGTTTGACTTGCAACTAATTTCCTTGAATACAGACATGCTATAAAGTGTAAATGTGAACATGGCAATTTAAAAAAGAAAAATGGATATCAAGATGGTGAGAACAGAATAATAATTGTATGCCATGCCCGTGTGTACGAGTAGATATGACTAGGTGTGCCATTTTTAGACTCACATGCCACATGCTGAAACACAAAATAACTGCTCATATGAAAAAGAAAGGCATCTGGCATAGGAGCACTAATTATCTTGGAGTGAATTTAAAATCTGGAAAAAATAGACATTTTATAAACTTTGCCTGTCCTGAGAATATGCACCTGATTAATCTTTGTTGATAGACTATTGTTTCATGCAGTGCAATGATGTGTTTATTATAAGTAGAGGCGTATTGAAGTTGAAAAGATTGTCTCTACAACATATTAACATATTGATTAATGATGTATCCATAAACAGACGTCAAGGACTTAATTTCTACTCTTGCTGATAGTCAAGGAGAATGCTTAATGATCAGTAGTTACAAAATGGACACATCTGGTTCTGTTTGCCCAACTAGAGTTCGTGCAATGTTGGCGTCTCGTGCTTGCAGATCATCCGTCATGATTGGAGATCCACTTGGACGAAATGAAATGCAGAAGGTAATGACCTTAGCCAGCAGTGACCTGAACTTTGTTCTCATAGTGAAGCATTATATTTTGTGAACACATACATGGTACTTGCTAGCATATATAGGCTTTAAATATATTTGTTGGATTTGTGTGTCTCCACCCGATGGACCATGGCTGCTTTATCCAATTCCTAACCCCACAAATCACGCTTGATGTTCGGCCGCAATTTCTCTGTTTCTGATATCTATTATACACTCTTATGCGAAGGTTCTCATTGGGATATTGGTTTAGTCAAATGCTTGATTAGTTACAATTAAACACATTAATGGATACACAAAATGATTACATCTCAAGTTTTACGTGATTTTCCCAGATACTTGAGCATTTGGCAGACTTGAAGTCTCCGTGGAATTGCCCACATGGCCGGCCAACAATGCGACATTTGGTAGACCTGACAGTCTTAAGCAAAGGACCAGATGAAAATGACACAAGCTCTTGATCCACCTTCCCTGTGGTTTTGCCTCTTAATCTTTTCGTTAACTTATTCTGTATATGAATATAGTTTCCTTTCATTTCTCATTTCGATAGATGTTCGCTAATGAGTAGTGACAAGCGCTGTAAATGTACATACTAGGAATGGCTGCCTGATCGGTTCCTTGTGGCTTTATTGTTCTCTTTTTTGTTTGAGTAATGTTGTTCCAAAGATGAATAAAGGATTTAATTCTCGTCTTGATACTCAAACAAGCGTCCAGCCTAGGAACCAAGGTGGCAAAAATGACGTGGTTAAAACAAAAATTAAAAAAAAAAAAAAGGGTTTCTTGTTGGTGGACTTTCAGCCTAAATTCTATGGAACGAGATAAAAGGTGAAACTGGCTCCGAATTATCTAAATTTGCTGGGTCAGTTACTAACCCATGAAACTATTTACAGGTGCAGATTAGGCTCTTGCTGTCATATCTCACCCAAATTCACAACATTGGATTCCAAATGTTTTTCATCTCGTCTTATCACATTAAGCCACAGTCAATGATACTATGAAGCTGAACAAATGCGTCAGGGCGGTGACAATCTTGTGCAAGTACAACTAGTAAAAAAAAGACAAAACCTGTCGGTTCGCTCACGTCAGATTGGTTAAAGTGTTAAAGACAAAATGCGGTCAAATAATAGAATGTGGGCAAAAATGAAAACCCCGCCTGGATCCCCCTCAAATCAAACTCTTTATTTAAACCTCTAACTGAGGTTTATTTTGTCAACAAAATTTTTTTTAAAAAAAAGTGAGATCGACTGGAAGCCTGAAGGTTGTCTTTCTCTCCTCAGCTCTCTTCATCTCTCTTGTTGGTATTTTCGATTTCCTCTTTCATTATTTAGGGTTTTAAGCCGATTGATTTACGTTTTTTCCTCTATTTTCTACCAAAACATAGCTTTAATTACTACTAGTAATTATTACTAGTATATTATTCTTTGACTGCGCTAGGGTTTAAACTTTAAAACATAATTTGTTCTACTGCAAATAAGATTCCAATTCCACGATTTTTAAATACTTTTCTTCATCTTATTTTTTATAACATTGCCCTTTCCTTTTTTTCTTGCAGCTTTTTTTGTTCTTCGTTAGGTTTGTACTTCATTCCGAAGAGACTAAAAAAAATGGTATGTTTCTCTTTTTAACTTGTCGTTTTGATTGCTTAGGAATTGCATGAAAATTGGGGAAATCGAAAAAAAAAAAAAAAAAAAAGAGAAGGCGGCTTTTCGTTTGATGACAAAGCGTTTTTGGGTTATTTTGGTTTCTGTCAAGGGGTTTTTTTTTTTTTTTTAATATTTTAGCTACTTTCCTCGGCTAACCCGTTTTATCAATATGTAAACCTTGGGCAGCTTCCTCTTTCTCTACTAAAAACTGCACAGGGCCATCCTATGGTAAGAGCATTACTTTCCCTTGCATTCCCGTTTTGGACTTACAGTGCAAAAAGTTTGCTTCTGTTGTTGATTTTTGAATCAGCTTTGTGATTTTGTTTTTCTGTTCGCTAACAGTTAGTGGAACTGAAAAATGGGGAGACTTATAATGGACATTTGGTCAATTGCGACACTTGGATGAACATCCATCTTCGTGAAGTTATCTGTACTTCAAAGGCACTAATATCAGTTCATTCAATATTTCTTATTTTATTTCATTTGCTTCTAGGAATAAATGTAAGTATGTTGATCTTTTTTTAAACTATGGTTGGAGTGTGATGGAAAACATATTGTAGGATGGAGACAGGTTTTGGCGAATGCCTGAATGCTATATCCGTGGAAATACAATCAAGTATCTTCGAGTTCCTGATGAGGTACCTTTTACTCATTGTATATGCTGTTGTTTGGTGTCAAAACCTTGCATAGGTAAGAGTAGTTATTACTTTAATTTCATTCACTCTTCAATTTTATAAATGCTTGGATCATTGTTGTCTTCATAAAAGAATAGAGTGGATTTTAGCTATTTTTGTTGAAGAAACTTTGTGGTGTTAAAATGAGTGTTCTTTTGCTGGAGCTAACTGGGTAATGGTTTGTTTTTATTAGAAAACATCTGCCATCTCTAAAGAAAGACAAATTTTAGGTCTAATAATCTTAATAACTTTACCATTGTCCATTAAATTTCAGGTAATTGATAAAGTTCAGGAAGAAACAAAGAGTCGTGCAGGTATGATTTAATTCTCTTCCTAGCTATTTAAAGGCATGGTTCATTATCTTAGTATTCAATTCAAGTAGAAACATTTGGGTACTAGTAAGTTTCTCTGAAGAGTTGCATTGCAACCATATATACTAATATTCTCCTAAGTGTATGTTGCAGTTTAAATTGTACTTGGATAATTGTATGCTGAAAGTAATGTAATTTTCCTAGTACACAGTCCATTGTATTCCATCCTTTTTATTTCTGCTTCATAGAATTCTTCCTCCAGCTTCCTCCCCCCCCCCCCCTTTTTTTCTTTTATTTTCTGTTATATTGTATTCTGTGCATCTAGAAGACTGCATGATGACTTGGGTGCCAACTGCATCAAAACCTTGCCCTTGAGGTTGATACTTGATACTTTTAGAGATTTCTGCATTTGAAAACTGGAGTTCTTAACCTGGCTGTTTGATTTTGCTGACCTTTTCAGATAGAAAGCCTCCTGGTGTAGGCCGTGGCAGAGGTAGAGGCAGAGAAGATGGTCCTGGTGGAAGGCAACCAAAAGGAGTTGGGCGTGGTCTAGATGATGGTGCCAAGGGTGCAGGAGGACGAGGCAGGGGTGGTTCAGGTGGAAAGACCAGTGGAAGCAGAGGTAAAATTGCTGAAAAAACAGCTGCGCTAGAGTGTGTTTTGGCATTGAAAACACTCTGCAAAATCCTTTTGTATTTTAGCAGATGATTGAATAATCTGTCATGGCCGGTTTAACATTTGACAAATTCAGACTAATGGACTGCTGCTTTTCCTTCTGGTGACAGGTGGTGGCCGGGGTCGAGGTTGATGTGATAATGCTTTATTTTGGGGCCACCTTACCATTTTTAGAAGCAGGTTGCATCCAATTGACTCAAGTTGGGTTCTTCCTTTTGGTTAATTATGTCAGAGTAGTTTTCTTAAGTGCCCAAATATCAGGTAGCATCGCAGAACTCAGTTAAGGATGTTGTGTTGTGGTTTTTGCCCTTTTATCTCATCGACGTTGTATCTTGTAAGACAATTTACTGTAAAATTTATGCGTTAAAGTTAAATGATTATATCTCTGCCGTTGTGTTGTCGACTTGCTTGAGACTTATCACCTGCCTACTAGTTGGAATGAATTTATTTGTCTTCTCGAAATACAATTTACAGAGCTCCAAATTTGTGATAGACCACATGTTGAGGAGAGGAGAGAGAGAGATGGGGATGGGAGTAAGAGGACGTTCCAAAGGGTGGAAGGCTACCCCTTCATAGAAGCTAATCTGCTGAAAAAACAAAAACAAAAAAAAAAGAATGAAACTATCGCTTTAAATGGTAGAAGATTTTCATTTTCTAGTGCTTTCTTACATAAGGTACTGATAATTCACAACACTTCTTGCTGAACTGGGAAAACTTTGAGGGAAATGATAAAGTTCCAAGAGAGCTATCAGATGACAAAGCATGAGCCGACCCGTGAATATTTAGTAGGGATGATGCCTACTTTTTTTGTGAGTTCGTGGTGACTTCATGACCAATGAACTTGAGATCCAGGATCGATTGATCTCCGGGGAATCATCGCCCATCCAACAGCACAAGCGACCATCCTCACCACCAGTCCATCCAAAAATGCCTCGGCTTTGAGCAGGTCCACTATGCAAGTTTGACATAGGCAATATGCTCCTAACAACACCCATATGGCCACCCCCAAGAACTGCTTCTGCGGGTTCTATCACTGCTGCTCCTTTATACCTTACCGGAAAATAACCTAAAGAGCCAGCACTAGTCCCACCAATCACCCATAAATTTTCTCCTCCAGAACAGTGACAATCAACAAAATAATCAACCTGCAAAAGCAGGAAGGCAAAATTTCCAATGGGGTAAAAGATCTTGAATAAAATCTAGTGCATGTTTTATCCAATTTCAGAGTTGCTTGACGCTTAGAAAGACCAAAAGTTTTTTGGAGGGGGTTTAAAGAAAAGCTAAAGCTTTTCTAATTGTTGAAAATGATTTTCTCGGGGCTAAAAGCAAAAGCTCCAATTTTAGACTTCTAAAATGACTTGTAACAACATAAAGATAATAAACAAATTCAATTATATTTTGAACTTACATGATCCAATGTCCAACTGTCTGATGCTAATGTTCGAGCATCCTCTAAGTTTGCTTCATTTGTACCATCCTTCCAATTCCATACACTACAAGTTGCCGTTAAATAATGTCTGAGCACTACTTCCGGATAAAATTTGTTTATTTAAAACATATTGGAGCAGGCTTGTCAAGCTTTAACATCTAAACTGATAGTCGATTAGGATGGAACGTAAGAAGGACAATCAAGCAACAATCTGCCTGTATCTTTTTAAACGTAACATATTTTCTGTATCAAGTATTCTAAGGAAGTAAAAGCAGGTCTTAATTCACCCGCTCTAAACAAAGAGAACAGAGCAGATTCCATCTCCCAATATTTTGCAAATTCAGAAAACAAGTCCTCATGATTTATGGATCAAGGGTAAAGATACCTTAAGGTCTCAATATTTGTCAAACACCAGAGCTTCTCAGAAGAGTCCCCAAAAAGACCAACTTTCCCAATAGAAGTTCCCACATTGATAACCTGAAATATTGTGATAAAAAATAAATCTGATTCTGATAAGTTCACTAAACCAGTTGCAGGAATTTGCCAAAAAGAAACTATGCATTCTCCAAACTACTGAGTCGAGCAAAAAAGCATTAAATTCTAAGAATATGAGCATCAGAATGAGACTCTTTTACTGGCAAGCAAACTCGTCTTTTTCTGTTGAGTGTGTAGACTGAAAGGAGATTAGTTTGAAAAAGGAACAGATGGGAACTAGGAAATCATGTATAAGAAGTATTTACAATTAACTAATAAGGATGAGTTAACAGATTGCTTAACAGGCTAATCAGCTGTATGCAATCATAGTCCACCCAATCTGTGCTGAAACACAGGATGATTTTGCAATTAATCACAACTCTTCAACTCCAACAAAAAAGTTTCAATTATTTATTGATAACAATACTCCAACGAAATTACCATCTAGCTTAACTGCTCAATGTTTTTCTTGGTTGGAGCAAGGATTTGAGAAGAAACCGGCCTTCACAGCTCTAAAAGGATGAGGGAAAGATATCTACTAGTGGGTAGACCGTTCACTAAACAAAATAAAATAAAAACAAGTCCGCACTTACAGATTCAAGATGATCATCATCATTGATATATCCGCTGGTATCAAATATGCATATCAATCCATCAACAGAAGCAGAAGCCAGTTTGTTTTGATGGCCAGGGATGAAATGAACCTTTCAACAATAAGGAGAAACACCAATAGTGACAATAAGCTACATGATTCAACCAACAAAATCCCAACCTTTACTAGTTTATTGCTGAAGCATAAAATTGTTTAATCTATGCTAAGCTTCAGTCAGCCAAGCATGCAATATAATTAGCCAAAAAAATTGGGATGTAAAAAAAATGATAGAAACTCGTTGACCTCAAAGTAGACAAATAAATTGAACAGGGGCCAAGACTAACCTGAGTAACATCCTCCACATGGGATTCCTCTAAGCATGCAACTTGCTTCTTGTTCCTCCAATCCCAGAAAAATATCTGTGTTGTTGAAATAACCAACAAGCAAGAAGAAACAGTCATGAAAAACCGAGACAGTCTCAGAAAGAGTTATGCCCAATAAGTTTTCCCGCAAAGGATAAGCATATTGACTAGAGTGCTGCAACAAAACCACAACTAACAGATGCCAATCTAAACTGGTAAAAAAATAACTTTATGACATAATATGTGATAAATGCCAAGATAGACAGATTAATAAACCTGGGATTGGCATCCTGCGGCCAAAAGATTATCATCTGACCCTCCAAACGAGAAGCTAAAGACCTCTCGCGAAGAACCAGCAGTTATACACGAAACCTACAAAACAAATTGGCACAAAAATTAAGAGGAAGGAACATTCCAAATTTGGTAAAAAAAAAACAAAACAAAAACAAAAAATTACAGGCTGGTCTACGAATTACTTGGTGAAAAGTTCTGGTATCCCACGCCCTAATGGTTCCATCAGAGGAGCAAGAGTGCAAAACATGAGGAGTGGAAGCACCAGAGAAAGAGATATGATTGATAGTAGAGGAATGTCCCTTACACTCTCCAAAGTATTGACCCGTCATTGGCGAGTAAAGTTTCACAGAGTTAGTTGACAATGATACCGCCATGGAAGTCCAATCATCCCTTGCAATTCATTCATTACACCCAAAAAAAAAAAAAACCAAAAATAAATAATCACCATGAATTTTAAGCAAAAAAAAGAAACTTCAAAAAATTTCCCATTTTAGAATTGATTATATGAGAGAAAGCGTACTTGGAGACGATTTGGAAAACGTAGTCGTCGCCAAAATTGGTTTGGATAGAATTTTTTAGACCAAATCTCATGGTTGAGCTTTGATTATTCTGAACAGGTTGTCGCTGTTTTTGTTCTTCTACTTCCATCTGCGAAGATTCTTCCTCCGTATCAGCCTTTTTTCCAATCTTTGTGTAACTTTGAGCTTTCGCTATTGAAAAGAGGCAAAGCAGGGGAAGGGGCGCCTAGGGAGTTTAGGGTTTTAAGACGGTCGATTACAAACGGTCAGGTTCAGCTTAACTGGCTTCTAGCAACCAATCAATGTTTGCCACCTCATTCTCCTTTTTTTTTTCATTATTAAGTACCAATTTTTATTTTTTTACCCAAACGCATCAAATTAGATTACTAATGCTAATTTCTCTTTTTTTTTTTAGTCCATAAAGGATACGCAGATTTAGTTCTTTAATTTAAGGTACAAAATGTTTGACTTTGTGTCGATTATATATGATTTTAGCAAATGACCTATAATGCTTTGGAAAAAAAAAAAGTTAGATAATTATTTCACGTAACTTGTTTAAAACCCTTGGTTTCAAACATGCAATGTTATTTTATAACCTTTGATTCCCAAATTGGGTAAGATGCTCAAACCTCTAAAACACTTAGAACTACTGCTAAATCCTCGATGTTCTTGGACAATATAATCTCGAGATGAGGATTTTAAATCCTAAGATATAGATTAAGGCATGGATAAACACATAATTAATACCCTTAACCAAAATTAATCTGGTATTAACAGCTAGTTTTGGAAGTGAACCTCGTTCAAATTTCCAACTTTCATTATAAAAATCGCATTGTAACAGGCTAATACCACGAGGAGGCAACAGCTCGCTACCTGAAATTGGTAATCCTTGCCTCCTGGACATTAAGATTGCACTCACAGATGAACTCAAGATATCTCATTTCTAAATGATCATCATCAAACAAATGATTCAACGGTACAGGTACAGCATCCAAATTCAAGTCAAAGAGACCTAAATTGCCTGTCCATTAGACAGAAACATATATCTTGCCAGACTCTGCAATTTTTAATCTCATGCAGTTAGAAAAAAACATCACGCTTTGATCCCATCAAAGATACCCAAAAATAATATATAACGTGCACAACCATAGATTAACCGAATTTGATATCATCCGCTAACATGATATCATGTGCTTGGTGCAGCTTCCTTCTTCTCTGAAGTTCCAGCACCTTGGTCCTCCAGCTTTGCATCTCCTTCAGCCTTGTTAGTGTCTTGCTCTGTTGGGTTTGTCACTTCTTGCTCTACGATGGATGAAAATCAGTTTAGCCAACATCCAAACTAATGATGAACCAGCAAAGAGAAAACGTAATCACAGGCAAAATACCCAGAAAGCCCTGCAGCATTCTTACCTTCATCATCACTGTCGTCAAAGTCACCCATGCCACCATCATCCATGCCACCCATTCCCATATTTCCAAAGTTCTGCATAACACCACAATTATTAGGTAAGAAAGGACATTGTCATAAGTTAGTGCTGAAAATAGATATTGTAGATAAAATATCATAAATCCATACCGAGAAGTCCATGCCTCCTAAGTCAAGATCACCAAGACCTAATCAAAAATAGTAGCAATTAACAAATTGTCAGTTTGAAATGCATCAGTCTTTACATCAATTCCATCCGAACAGAGAAATATCAGTAATGACAATACTTACCACCATTGTCTTCATCTTCATCCACCCATTTGTCCCAGTCCACTTTGACATAATGGGGGGTCCTGCCATCCCCACGCAATAATTTCTTCCACCACACTTTCTCAGCCTTTCCCAAAATGCAGAATATGCTCCGGACTCCTATATTTATTTTGCTTTCCTTATTTCCAAAAAAAAAAAAAGAAAAATAAACATACAAAAAAAAAATCACAAGATATCAAAATTAACAAGTTTTTGGAAGGAAGAATGTTGATCCTAAGACATACAAACATACATCAAGGGCATTTTTCAGTAGCAAACACCACATATGAATAGGCAACACTTTGAAAGCGCTCCAGGAAGAATTTAAACTTAACTTGGTAGAGTGGATAGGAAAATGGAAACATGAAAATTTGAAGGGAGAGAAGCAAAAAGATGGAAAACATACTTTTCCTTTCCGTTCGTATGATCAGTTGGAAAGACAAAAATGTGAAAACGGAACTAATTTTCTTTTCATCCATTATTTGGTAAAATTGAAAAATGAAAGAACATGAAATTTATGTTAATTTACAATTATGACAGTAAGGGGCTAAAGGCTAGCTATCAAATATTCAGAATTCACTTAAAAAGCAACCAATCAACCGCATAACACAATCATCCACTGATCATCATCATCATCATCAACACCCTAGACTCTCAAATATCCCGAAAAAATGAGACAAATGTTTTGTTGACTCTCAATAATTACTAGAACAATATCTTACCTCTACATTGACCTTATCATGAAGATCCAACCTCAACTCATACAGGTTATTGTCGGTTCCAGCAGTAGCAGAGAAAGTAAACACTCCCTCTGGCTCAAGATTGACCTTTGCATTCTTCGAATCAGGTAATAGCACCGTTATAAAAACCTTGTCAGCTCTTTGAGCCCATTTCACCTCGGGATGACGACTAGCAAGAAAAAAGAGTTATTAAAAGAACAATTCAAACCAAAATATTCCCAAATCGAAACAATTGCTAATGTAACAATCCCAGATAGGCAACCTAATCAAAACCCCACTATAACATTTTTTTTTCCCAAAAATGTTTAACCATCTAGAAAGTTCCATATTTTCCCCCTGTTGTCCTAAGTTTCCAAATAGAATTTTAAGACAAAGAAGATTAAAAACAAAGAAAACAATCATTACTAATCAGAGATACTCAAAGAACAGATCAAGAAACACATGTTGAAACAGACAAAGAACACAAATGGCAAAAGCGTAATATCAATCAAATCGGTAGAAAGCAGGGCCAAAGGTTCGAAATATGAAAGGCAAAAAAATCTTAAAAACGAAGAGATAAAGAAAGATTGTTAAGCTCACCTCATGGCTAGTAGAGAGTAGAGAAAGAAAGAAAGCACGGAATCTAAAACCCTAGAGCAAACACAAGAGGCAACGACTAAAATAACTCCAACAAGACAGCACTCGGGTGGGTAAAGAATAACCCTTCTAGTACTTTCCTTTCTAGATTTTTTATTGTGTGGAAAGTTCTATTGTCTTTATTACATCAACGTCGTTTGATTTTCTTGATATGAAAGTAATGCAATCGGACGGTTCAAAATCATATCACATCAAAAGTCTGGGCAATCTTGGTTAGCCAGGCCTAGCCCAATATAACCGGCCCATTATTAACTTGTTCAATTGAGCGCGCCCAATTTGGTTTTGGTATTTTTGGATTTGTGTTTAAGGTTTTTATTAATGTTCATTATTGTCTATTACTCTATAAATTAGTAGGAGCAGTATTAGAACAGAAAGTGTAACAAATTAAATTAAAAAAAAAGAACTCACAAAAATACATTTAACTATGTTGTAGTGATAGTTAAAAGATGGCATTGGGCCTAAGCCCCAATCACTATGAAATGGATAAAAGATGCTAAGGTAGTGTACAAAAACTATACTAATAGCAAGTAGCGAGCAACAAACAAGTCTTTAATGTTTAATTCCTTTTAGGCTCCTTGTTAAAGTACTTTCAAGAAAGAAAGGACGTCTTTCCTGAAATTAGACTCATTTGTATTTTGCATAAAGGAACATCGAAACAGCATAAACCCTCCTACCCCAGCCCAGGCTTACAAAAGCAAGGACAATGCCCAACAAAACCCATTTTTGTACTAAGGGCCAGGACTCAGAAGCTGTCTTGCAGCTGCTGTTGCATGAACCTGGCAACAGCAATTGAATAGGCCCTTTTCAGAGAAAAAAAAAATGCAATAATTAAGTGTGTAAATGTACAGAACTTTTGAGTAACTGTTTATAAATATGTTTAGTTTTTATTTATTTATGTTTGTTTATTAAACTTAACAATCAATCTTGAACAATATTTTTATGCTTGTTTGTTAAATGAATCAAACATAAACAAAGATTTATTAAATTCGTTTATGTTTGTAAATAAGCTTGTTTAATATTCGTGAATAAATTTGATTATTAACATTCAATTTTTTTATTAGGAGATTATTCAAAGTATTTTTGATAAAAAATAATTTAAGTAATCCTTTCTAATTTTTTTTAAGATTATTTAAAGGGTTTTTGCCTAGAAAATACCTTGAATAATCACCTCTAATTTTTTTTGGATTATTCGTGATATTTTTTTATTAAAAAGCACCTTGAATAATCTCTTAAATTCTAAATTCTAAACCCTAAAAATTATAAATTATTCAAGGTATTTTTGCCAAAAACACATTAAATAATCAAGTTATAAATTTTGAAGTAAATTATTGAAAACATTTTTAGTCAAAAACGTCTTGGATAATCCATTGCAAAAAAAATTAATAGGGTTATTAAAGGCGTTTATGACAAAAAATACCTTAAATAATCCTCTTCAATCTTTTAACTAAGAGATTATTCAATACGTTTTTTACTAAAAACGCATTGAATAATTCTCTCCAAATTTTTTTTGATAATTATTCAAGATATTTTTTTCTTAAAAAATGCATTGAATAATCTCTTAAACCTTAAAAATTGAGGACTATTCAAGACATTTTTTGTTATAAACACCTTAAATCTCATAAAATTTGAAGTGGATTATTGAAAATGTTTTTTGTTATAAACATCTTTAATAACCTTATTAATTTTTTGTAAGAAATTATTCAATGTATTTTTTGTTAAAAACACATTGAATAATTTAATTCAATTTTTTTACTAAGAGATTATTTAAGTAATTTTTTTATAAAAAACGTATTGAATAATCAATTTCAAATTTTTTTTTTAATTATTCAATACGCTTTTCTCATAAAACGTCTTAAATAATCCCTTAAACCTTAAAAATTAAAAATTATTTTATGATATTTTTTATAAAAATATTTTGAATAATTACCTCATAAAAATTGATTTAAATTATTAAAAATATTTTTTGTTATAAACACTTTGAATAACCTCACATTAATTACGAACCAAAATGATGGATGGGTAAATCTTACATATTTCCATCGTCTTCTTTCACTAGACTATTTTTACTATTCAAATAAGTCTCACATTGCTTAAGAACTAAAATAAGATATAAGTAAACCTATAAATTCCCAAAATCTACTGATCATTTGTTTAACAAAATCAATAATTAATTGTGAATATTTTGATTTTTTGATAATAATGAGTTAAAAATTTAAATTTAAAACTTAAAATTGAAACTCATATATATTCAACTAAAATTCGTTGAAAATAGATTAATTGAGCTCAAACATATGTTATAAGATTTGATAAGAACTCGTTTATTTATAATCTTATTTATTACTAATCGAATTAAATTTTAACCAAAAAAAAATTCGATTAGATTCTATTCTTACGATCTTAATAATAATCCAAATTTTTTTAAGAAGAAAAAAAAAATCACTCTAATGGCCAATGACTAATAAGACAATGACCCACTCATACGGCAAGAAATTGGTGAGTTGAGAAGTCAGTATGCCGGGGAAGTAGAAGCCAGACTTGCCATGGCAGGAATGGATGGATGCTTTACTAATTTACGTTCTTGGCGCTACTCCCGGGGCAGTACAGTTCTGATGTAAAACTGAGGTGACTTTCCATATGGCTAGCAAGGAGGCCCCATAGAGGGCTGTCGGTTTAGACTTATTAGCTACTCATTGGAGTGACTGACGATTGCTGTACGCACGCCTCGGTTCCTACCAAAATTAACCAAATTAAATATGCCTAGGAATCTCTATAGCTGGTTATTGGCCAAAAAGAAAAAAAAAAAATTGTCTACCAGGTTTGGCACTCTCCTGGCCTCTTTGGACTTTGGGTTTGCGAGTTCAAGGGTTAATCAGCGGCGGCACACAAAATAAAATACTATATAATGAAAATTGGGTTTATTAATGATGATCCAATCTCAAATATAGAAAGCTTAAACACATCGAATCGACATTACACCTTTTTTATACTTTAAATGATTTAGCAAATCGAAGCATTGACCAAAATGATGGTATCAGAAATTTTGAAAGCTCGATTCGCTTTCACCATGCCTCCATCTTAATTTGATGTTCAGATAGTATAGAACAATTAAAATAGCTTAGATTGGATTAAGCATTTTCTAATTGCCATGGTGCTTTTAAAAAAGCCTGTAAAGGTAGCCTCATTCAAACCTATCCTACTTAAAATTAAATTTGGTCGTCTATAGGTTCAGTTGTCATCTTATGTAGGCCAGAGGTCCTTCGGACATGATCCACGTGAGTTATTAATATAAAGTAACCAACAAAAAAACAATTCAAATAAAGCTTTAACTGCGAAAGTAATTCTTTAGGTTATTTTGACGAGTATTTATGGTTTTTACTTTTATAGTAAACAAAGTGAAAAGAATAAAAAATAAAAACATCAACTAAATGGGATAGATGATAGTTAAAATGATGGTTCTTGGTAAATTTATATAAAATATTATTTATATAATCTATACATTATATTAAAATCATGTTCTTAAAGAAGTTCATTTGTTGTCACGTAACAGTTATGAATATATTTTTTTACTATTAATTAATTAATTTTTTTATTTTAAATTACATAAATTTAATTATTTATAAATTTATGATATTTATAAATTTAACTAATTATGAATGAATGTAGTTATTATTTGTTTAGTTTAATATTTTTAATTTAAATTCATATTTATTAAGTAATATAAATACTCATAAATCAATTCTAGATTATTCATGTCAACATATACTCTTTTATTATAGGTACAAAATAAATCAAGTGTTTTTTTATGAAATTACAAATACAAAAATTACATCTATATATAAAGAAATCATTGACTAATCAAAGAAACAAACCAACTAATAAAATAAATAAATCTAATATAAAATTAAACCAAACCCATATAATTTGAACCTAAAATCTCAAAATTTTAAGACTTTCTTTTTATCACTAAGCCAAAATTTCATAAGCAAATAAATTAAGCATTTAACATCACAATTGAACAATGATAAAAATTGTTATAAGATGAGTTTTCTTATAACAAATTTGTCAAAATAAATGAGGACTATAGTCAACTATCTTTGCTAATATTTTGACTATTACTTAGGTTATAATATATGTATTTTTATTTTCCTCCCTTTTGTAGAATTTTAAGTTATCAGGTCTTCTTATGTATGTAAACAGTAAACACTGCACTGCTTAATAGTATTGAAGAAATCTTATTATCACTAAGCTGTAAAAATTTAAAAAGAATAAGTTGTTCATCACGTCTATTTCAAAACAGCGCGATGGTAATAAATAAAATGAGGGCAACTGTTCCAGCTATTTACATATATATTCCGTGAATATGGAGTGTGGTAAGTGTGATACGCAGTAACACGTATCGTATTGATGTTAGAGATGACATCGTGTTGGCACCAAAATAGTCTCAATTACGTGACGCTAATATTTTCCACATGCAACGAGTCATAATCCGTAAGAAGTATATGTGCATGAAAAGTACTCTCTTCATATCTTATGACAAATTCGGATACTTTTGGTATAAGTAGTGACTATTTTTGTTTCTGCATGTCTCTACTTTTCTTTTGTGGGTTTGGCTGATTCCAAGAAGTGTAATTGAAAAGTAATTAAAGTTTGATTCTCTCTCTCTCTTTCTCTCTCTCTCAATAGTTGTTCACAAGCTTGTTTTTTCTTGTAAGATGACGTATTAATATCCTTAATGAAACACAATAAATTTTTCAAGGATTTTTTTTGCACAGTAAGCATATATTTATCGTTAAATGAAATGCTTGAATATATCATCAAGCTTTTAGCTTAGTAGTTAAAGGCGTTTAAAAAAACATCAATGGCATAATTTAAAACCAAGCTTTTTTTTTTTTATTTGTACCAAGGCTTTACCCTTATAATATAACAAAAAAAAATGCTTAAATATTATAAACACAAAAAAATTGATACTCATAATGTGAGTATTATGGGTTTTTTTTTTTTTCACATATGACGTATATTAAATTCAATTAGGGATTGGAATTGTTTATGCTGAGCTCTGACTT